AAGTCTTGACAGAGAGAGAGAGAGAGAGAGAGAGAGAGAGAGAGAGAGAGAGAGAGGTAAGACTTAGAAAATCTGCACTTCGCAAAACGTGGTAATTATTGTTTTTAGAAGAAGTTTTGAATATCCTGTGTTTCGTCTTAAACAATGGCCTGCGGAAATCTGTACTCAGTCACGCGGATAAAATCAAGTCAATTTAATTTTATCGACTTTTTTTATATCATTTATATGCGTTACGATTACACGTAATTCGCGTGAAGATTTTGATTGTTAAATATTCTTGTGTAATAAATTCATTTCAATTATTCGTAACGATGCTACGTTAAAATACCGTTAGCCGGTGAAATGAACTTTAATAAATTGTATCGGCGTGGAGAAACATTTTTATAGACCATAATACGATGATAGATCGTAAGCAATCTCATGCAAGTACTCATAAACATTCTGACAATTTAAATATTTTTATAACAACGTACGTATTAGGTGAAATTATAAATAATTCCCGTTTTAGTGGTTCAATTTTATTGACCAATAAATTAAACACAATTATGTCTTAATCACCGATACATTCGGCATCGATTATAATGATTTATCGTGATAAATCTGATAACTCAAGCATAATAAATTATCAGGAGAGGAAATTATATTCGACGCGTCCCAGTGTGTGTGTGTGTGTGTGTGTGTGTGTGTGTGTGTGTGTGTGTATGTGTTTATCAAAACATTACTTCCATCTTTTTGGTAAAACTACATAAACTCGTTAATAACGTTGATTTTATACTATTATAGTACAAAATTTAGGTATATCCACGAGCAATATTTTATATAGAAGAATGTAATACGTTCATATTTTACTGGCTCTGATATTATAAACTTGATGGACGAGAATCTCCCGCCTCTGCACTCTAATCGCCGACACGATCGTTCGTAGTCATCAACGTTGTTAATTACCACGCATTTGTAAAATGTACACATAAACTTCGTTTATGCGTTGCTTTCTTAATCGCATCCTGCCGCTTTATACATATGTGCTATCGACTATGGTTGTAAAACGATACTTTTTACTATAACATGTCATTCAGAGTTATATTAAACCAGCAATACTCACCAATTTGTCGCTTTTTGCACCCTTCGACTACAAATATATCTTACGGAACTCTCTTTATTAACAAATCTGTATCGGTATAGTCGGTCGTAAAAGTTATGACTGATACATCGAATATCTGAAACGTGCAAATAAAGACTCGAAGTAGCTCTTGGTTTTGCTTAAAAATAAAAAATAAAATACCAATTAAGCGAGGATAAGGCTTTAAAACATCTGTCGAAGTAATGATAATAATGATAATGACGAATTTGATTGTAACCTTTCCTATTGTGCAGTGAACAATGTGATTTAGGATTTCTTATGTATTTACACGCACCGATAGACAAATGTAAGGGACATCATCGGATAATTTTCAATTGTTCAATTTTACACAGATAATTTTCAAGATAATATGAAAATTCTTTTTCTCTTACAAATATATGAAAAATATATGAAATAACCTTATCGCCGTTTACGTTCACCATATTTTATCGAGTTCGTGCTAAAATCATATCGGCTTATAATTGCACTAAAATACAGTTATTTTCATCATGCAAAATAATTAATTCTTTAATAATAGATATTATTAATAGATATTGTTATTAATATATAATATAATATTATTAATAGATATTATTATTAATATATAATATAATATTATTAATAGATATTATTAAAGAATTAATAGAGTGTAAATATTTTATATGTATCTCTGTTCTAAATTCAGTGTCCAACAAAAAATTTTCTGCGGTGGATATTTAATAAAAATATTTCTAATGTTTATTAATGTATGTAGGTTTCTTGCGTTTCAATACATGTAAGCATAAAAATCCACAGTCTGATAATTACACAGGATGAAGTACGATGTTGCAAAATCAAGATTTTATTTGACATTCGTACTCCGTTATTGTTATAAATGCATAAAATCCACGACCCATTCGTCAATTATTTATACTTTGACTGAAGAAAATTGCATACATCAAGTGCATAACTATGGATAAACTATCAGAATTTTACGTCTGGGTCGGAAATACCGTTCGCCATGATTTTTCACGGGAATAAATATAAGCCTTCACTGCATTATTTGCTATGTATGTATGTATCTATAAATTAACTTAACTAAAATTGCATATACACCAACACGAACATTTTCGATGTCACTGACACACATGTTGCGCCGGTAACTATGTAAGATTAGACGTGTTCCTAACCTTTCGTTCACAATGCTCGATAGATAAGAATTTTCTTTATTGTCTAAGGATAGTGCTACATAGGAGGCAAATTCACAGAGTATTCTATGGAGTCTGTTACACTGAGACTGGCGTAGAAAGTAGGCAGATCCTTCTTATTGTTTCATAGCGCAGAAAATGCCGATTGGACACGTTCTGTGTATGCATATTTTTACAACATCGATGCGTATTAATAATTATGAAAATACTTGAAACGCTAAGCATTAAATGCTGTTCAATCTTTGGTGTATCGGTAATTTTCCATAAAAATAAAATAAAATAAATGAATAAATAAAATAAAAATAAAAAAGAAGATTGTATATTTTTATCAAATTCGTATTTAGCACATAAAAGGGAAACGTAAAAGGGCATAAAAAGAAGTTACAATTTGTTGAGCAATGAAATGGACTTCTGCAACGTCCGCAAAGTATACGTTCGTAATAAACATTTCAGAACGTTTACATGTATTTTCAGATCTATAATCTGAATAGTTGCATCTAGACACAGTGCTGATAATATCAAACGAATATCTCTATAATATAAGCGTTGCACTTGTATGTGTTTTCAACCAAGTATAACTTACTTTTGTGAACGAGTGGATGTCCAAAACAATAAATTAATTAAATGATTTCCCAAAATATGTTGCCCGTGATCCTTCGACAGCATTCATAATAATTCTGTTGTTAAATCCGTTGTCAAGAACGAATTATGGCACACCGGGATCCTAAATATTCTGTTCGTCGCGAAGACTGACAATGATCGTTTAAGGACTTGCAAAAACCGGGGAGTTTCCGATGATCGTGCAAAGTGTGTCGATCTCCTTTGGATCCGGTCGCATCTTCTGGTCCCAAGGATCGCGTGAAAGTCAAGGCCAGCCGGTCGTAAACCACAGGTATCATATTATACATAGACCATGTATACATACTATGCTATACACATACGACGCACGTTATACATATACATACATATGCAAGGGCTACGGTCATGTTCAAGAGAAAGCGAACGAGTAACCAGTTTATGAAAATTGCCGTGTCTACTGTCTCGTCGCCTTTCTGGGCTAACCGCGCACCTTCGGCTAACTCGAAGACCTTCATTGTCGTTAGCCGAACAAGTTGCGGTAACGAGACCATACGTTACTCGTCCGCTTCCGTCTCGAATCTCCGTTCGCAATTAAGGTAAAACTCGTGTCGGCCTTGCATATCGGCTTTCGTCAATTACGACGTATCGCTGAAGTATTCGCAGCATGTATTTGCGATCAGACCTGGGTATATGCAATGAAAATAAGATATACATACGGTCAGTCCCATAAATATACCTATCCCTTACAAACTGCACAACTTTTTCAAATTGGACTAATTGACTTGAATATATATGTATAATATAAAACATATATAACATATATATGTTAACGTGTAACGTGTGATGTGTAATGTGTAATG